GTGCGCTACGGCGATTTTTAGGGATGGTAGGCTACTATCGCAGTTTTTGTAAGAACTTTTCGACTGTGGTTTGTCCTCTCACTAACCTATTGAGCCCCAAAACTAGGTTTGAATGGACGGAGTCTTGTAACCGAGCGTTCGAAAACGTCAAAACTCTCTTACTGACTACTCCCGTGCTCGCTGCGCCAGATTTTAATAGACCGTTTCAGCTTGCTGTGGACGCTAGCAGCGTAGGCGCCGGTGCCGTACTGTTGCAGACAGGTGCAGACCATGTAAACCATCCCGTGAGTTTCTTCTCTAAGAAATTTAATCCTGCCCAGCGAAGGTACTCCACTATCGAACAGGAGACCTTGGCCTTAGTATTAGCTATTCAACACTTCGAAGTGTACTTGAGTTCTACCGTACATCCAGTTAAGGTCTATACTGACCATGATCCACTCAAGTTCCTCAGTCGCATGTACAATTCCAACCGTCGGTTAATGCGCTGGAGTCTGTTGCTTCAACCGTTTAACCTCCAAATTGTGCATATCCGTGGAGTAGACAATATTATCGCAGATGCGTTGTCTAGGGTGAATACTTAAGAGTGATAATAAAAATAAAAGAAAAATGTAAATATATATATATATATTCGTATATATAAAACCGTTGTTTTTCAGATTTTTAATTTATTGAGTTTGCTAATCTAACATAAATTAAACGTATAAAGATTTTTTTTTTTTGTCCTCTCTTACACATATAATTGTGTATTGCTTATGAGTTGACCATACACACCAAAGTACCTTCCTGTGTAATCTTTGTTCTCTTCTTTTATAGGCCTATACAGATACCTGGAAGCTGAACATAGAAGGCTCGAGTAGAAATAAATAGTTCTCATGTTTAGAGTATGGCGACAAGTCACCATTTCGGGGTGGGGGTGTTACGTTCCCCAGCCCGCTGTGTATTTTTACACGTGTGTGAGAGTCTGAGTTTTCCTTGCTCTTAATTGCAGATGAGCTACACCTGTGCTGCAGCCGCATCCTCGCACTACAAAAGCTTTCTGGAACCACACCTGGGCGCAGACAGAGCCTGAGAGAGCAGTTGACTGCCGTGCTGTTTGGAGTTTGCTGTCCACCCGGGAATCCGAAGCGTTCCGTCTTAGAAACTAACCTCCCTGTGTTTGTAAAGCTATCCGGCAAATGTTGACCAGCCTACTAAATAAAACACCCCTATTTTTGACACGAGCTAACCTGTGTGGGTCTCCCCTCTATGTTAAGGGTGGTGTCCGTCCGCCCGTAACAGCTAATCTTTCATCCAACCAAATACCTAAGTATTTATAGGAACTAACTCTTTCTAGGGAAATACCATTTGAAGTTGTAATTGAAATGTCAGTTACCTTGGAGCGACCACGACTAAAAATCATATATTTGGACTTTTTTTGTATTTAAAGCCAATTTTAACTGGGACAATGAGTGCTGCAGAATTTGAAAAGCGTTCTGTAGTTGATTCAAGGCTTGATTTAAAGTAGATGCTGTTGAATAAATTATTGTATCGTCTGCATACAGATGCAGTTTGGCAGACTCTATTCCTTTACCTAAGTCATTGATAAAAATAGAAAATAAAAGAGGGGCTAAAACAGATCCTTGAGGAACCCCTGTGTTGACTTGAAGGAGAGGTGAATTATAATTTTCCACAGACACGCATTGGGTGCGTTCTGAGAGGTAGTTATCAAACCAGCTTAAGGCTGCTTCACTGAGGCCTATAGATCTAAGTCTCTGTAACAATAATTTGTGATCTACAGAATCGAAAGCTTTTGATAGATCAACGAATAATGCGGCACATGACTTTTTATTATCTAAGGAGGAAATAATATCATTAGAGACTAGCATAGCTGCAGTAATGGTGCTATGTCCTGTTCTGAAACCTGACTGATAATCATGGAGAATATTATTAACTGATAGAAATTGTTTTAATTGATCGTTTATCAGTGATTCAAAAACTTTCGCTAAGACTGGCAATCTTGAAATGGGACGATAATTAGTTGGATCTAAGGGATCACCCCCCTTTAGTAGTGGAATAACCATTGCCGATTTCCACAATTTAGGTATAACATTTGAAACGAGGCTTAAGTTAAATATAGAAGCTATAGGTTTTGCTACGAGATCAGCTGCCACTTTTAGAAAATAAGGCTCAATTTGATCTAAGCCTGCCTTTTTTTGTGTGTCTAAATTCATTAGGGCATTGTGAACCTGCGCGATGGTTATGGGTGCAAAATTAAAAGAATCTGACGGGCAGTATTGAATAGGATCGGCATTTGAGGTATTAACACCCAACTTAAAAGCAACAGACGTGGAGCCAACTGAGGTAAAATAATTATTAAAGGTATCTGCTATAACTTCTCTGCCCTTGACTACAGTATGATTAACATTTAAATGCTCTGGAAATTTAAATAATTGATTTGGTGCTGAAGTTGACTTAATTAATTTCCAGAACTTTGTCGGATTATTTGCATTTTCCTTTATGGTAGACAAATAGTAATCACGTTTTGCACTTTTGATTAATTTTGTGCATTTATTTCGTAATACTCTGTATGTGATCCAATCTAGGGGATTGTTAGATTTCTTAGCCTTAACCCATGCAGCATTTCTCTGTTTTATGGAAGTGGAGACAGTATCTTTAAACCAAGGGTTATTTTTACCACTTATCCTAAATCTTTTGACTGGAGAATGTTTATCACAAATTGATAAAAATATTGATTTAAAATAATCCCAAGCCAATGAAACATCAGGCATACTGGAAACTGCACCCAAGTCACTATAATAGAGATCGCGTAGAAAAGCTTGTTCATTAAAATGCTTAAAAAATCTTTTATAAATATATCGTGGTGGGAATCTAGCAATTTTACAATTTCTCACACAGACTACTGCACAGTGATCGCTAATGTCATTGCAAAAGACTCCAGATGCTGAGTATTTTTGGGGAGCATTGGTTAAAATTAAGTCCAATAAGGTAGATCTGTCCAAATCCTTATGATTTATCCGGGTTTTTGAATTAATCAGCTGAACCAAACAAAGAGAGTCACAGGTCTCCTTGAAGAGATCAGAGGATGGCGACAGCCAGTCCCAGTTGAAATCGCCAAGAATAATCAATTCATATTTAATCCAATCATGAAAAAAGTCTGCAAGTAAAGTACATACCTCGCTTGAAGATGATGAAGGCGGGCGATAACATCCCACCACAATAATATCGGGGCCGGCAGACAGATTTAATTTGAGCGCTAAAAGTTCGAGACCATTCGGTTTGCTGATTGACTGTATGCAGGAACAATTTAACGTGGATCTTACATAAATCGCAACTCCTCCTCCTTTTTTTGCACGATCAGATCAGAAGACTGTGTATGAATCGATATTGATCAAATAATTTGTAACTGAGGCATTTAACCATGTTTCAGTTATGACCATTATATCTGCGCCGGTCGTGTCAGCCCAAACTCTTAGAAAGTCCATTTTATTAATCAGACTGCGCACATTCAAATGAAAGAAACGTAATCCATGAGAAGATTTGAGATCGTTAGGCATTTGTAGTTGGGATAACGTTGGACCAGGGTTGGGGTGAACATTGCCCGATAATAGAAGCAAGATGAGAAATAGCCACGATCTCCTTGCCGGGCCTTCCATCGTCGAATCTTTACAGCAGGTAACGCTGGGCGTTGCTCCAGCTGAATATCTCCCGTTCCCGTGGACAATAGAAGATTGGAAAAACGTTGCCTGGTCTGATGAGTCTCGATTTCTGCTGCGACATTCGGATGGTAGGGTCAGAATTTGGCGTCTACAACATGAAAGCATGGATCCATCCTGCCTTGTATCAACGGTTCAGGCTGGTGGTGGTGGTGTCATGGTGTGGGGAATATTTTCTTGGCACTCTTTGGGCCCCTTGGTACCAATTGAGCATCGTTGCAACGCCACAGCCTACCTGAGTATTGTTGCTGACCATGTCCATCCCTTTATGACCACAATGTACCCAACTTCTGATGGCTACCTTCAGCAGGATAATGCGCCATGTCATAAAGCTGGAATCATCTCAGACTGGTTTCTTGAACATGACAATGAGTTCGCTGTACTCAAATGGCCTCCACAGTCACCAGATCGCAATCCAATAGAGCATCTTTGGGATGTGGTGGAACGGGAGATTCGCATCATGGATGTGCAGCCGACAAATCTGCGGCAACTGTGTGATGCCATCATGTCAATATGGACCAAACTCCCTGAGGAATGCTTCCAGCACCTTGTTGAATCTATGCCACGAAGAATTGAGGCAGTTCTGAAGGCAAAAGGGGGTCCAACCCGTTACTAGCATGGGGTACCTAATAAAGTGGCCGGTGAGTGTATATGCTTTTCCACAGTTCCCTAAGGTCCTTGAAAGTTTGTATATCATTTATTTATTCATTTATTTATTTATTATTTGTGCATTTTGTTTATAGATATTTTATTTATGTTTCATAACAGCACTGCTGAAAGATTGAAATAGACATTGGTCATTGAAATTCCTTTAATTTATATAGTATAATTTGTATATTTTCTGTTCAATTGCACTCTTTCACGAGTTCACATTTACATCAATTAAACAGAGTAAAGATTATGCGTATTTGGCGTGCTGTCCGGGGGGAGGGCTCCGAGCTCGGAATTTTTTGCCCGAACCCAGAGTGCTCCCCCAAAAGCAAAAAGGCAAAGGACAGCCACCAGACTAAAGACCCCCCCAAAACGCAGAATTTTGGCGGGCTGGGTCCGTTTGAATTGCACCGTTCTTAACGAGCGCATCTTACTGCGTCGAACGGGCGAGCCCTTACTGGCCTATTGATGAGGAACAGCTTGATTTATGCCGCCTGACCAGGAGGGCCCGTGTTGCCTCTGGCGGAAGCAGCTCACTGCGCTGGGCGGATGGGCCCTACTGGTTGACGAATGAGGGGTGACAAGATTTGGGGATGCCCAACCAGGAGGGCCCATGTAGCTTCCGACGGGAGCAGCTCACGGCGTCGGGCTGATGGGCCCTACCGGCTGACGGTGGAGTGTTTTGGAAGCCCGGACTGGAGATTTTTTGTGGTCCACTGGGAAATCGTTACCTGTTGGATGGAAAAGAGAAACATAGATGAATGCTACATCCGCTTAGAGACCAATGCTCGCTTGGCAGAAAAAGAGGAAACAAAGATGCATGCAATGTCCGCTGGGAGACCAATGCTCGCTGGACAGAAAAAGAGGAAACTTAGATGCTTGCAATGTCCGCTGGGAGACCAATGCTCGCTGGACAGAATCATGCAATGTCCGCTGGAGACCAATGCTCGCTGGACAGAAAGAGAGGAAACATAGATGCCTGCAATGTCCGCTGGGAGACCAATGCTCGCTGGACAGAATTAAGCAATGTCCACTGGGAGACCAATGCTCGCTGGACAGAAAAAGAAGAAACATAGATGCCTGCAATGTCCGCTGGGAGACCAATGCTCGCTGGACAGGATTATGCAATGTCCGCTGGGAAACCAATGCTCGCTGGACAGAAAAAGAGGAAACATAGATACATGCTATGTCCACTGGGAGACCAATGCTCGCTGAACAGAAAAAGAGGAAACATAGATCCATGCAATGTCCGCTGGAAGACCAATGCTCGCTGGACAGCACATGCTTGCTGGACAGAGAAAAAGATAATATAAGTCTTCTACAGGGAGAGTTTTTGCTTCGTCTGCTGGGAACTAGATCACTGGATGAAGGAAGAACCCCCAGGTGGACAACCTGGTTGGATTGGATGCCTGACTGTTGGAGAACGGATTTGAGATGTTTCTGGAACCAAAAGCGTGTCACGGGTTTGTTGGAGTCATCTATAAATAGGGGATCAAGAGGGGATTTAGCCTGGGAGCTTCTCCACTGAAGATATGCCTGAATGGATTGGTATGGTTGGATTGGCGATGAGAGTTTGAAGATGTAGATGAAATGGCCTTTTTTGGATTGGTCTGTCTTGCTTTGCTTAATCAAGTATGAGATGGTTTCGCTATCCAGTACTGCTAAGTCTGAGATGGTGGGGTGGACTCTTGGGTCGAATTTGGAAGTGATGGCGAGTTCCGAGCATCTAAGAAAGCCAAAAAAGGCTAGAATAAACATAGCATCGAGTGTGCGGGCTGTCTCGAGAGGCTGGTAGACTGTGCGGAGGGCATGAATACATTTTGTGAGAATATCTAGTGTTATGGGTTGTCTGGTGTCAGGATGGGTGGGATGGGATCGTTGAATTCCTTTGACCAAAAGGGAGGTTTGAGAATTATTTATCTCTGGAGAGGGAGCGCCATACATCAATTTGTGGAAAAACTGGATGCCGCTCAGGTAACCTTTGATGGATCCCACTTGAAGGCCCTTAATGCTGTTAAGGTAGGGGATGAATGAGGTGATTGAAAGGAGAGAAAAATCAGGGAATGGCAAGTTGTATGAGAAGTGGAATGCTTTAAAACAACTCCAAGCTGTCACATAAGATTGGAGGGTCCTGGGAGAAACTGCTTGGAGGATGGTGTCCAGTGATGTGTCGAGGAGTTGTTTTAGAGGGTGGGTTACGGGAATATTAGTTCTGAATAGTGAGGTACTGGAGTTGGGAATTGGTCTGCCTCTGGAGCCAGCGTCCTGAATTTCTGACAGGATCTGTGCTCGGATGTTGTGGGACACTGGGGGTGGCTCCGCAGCAACGGCGTTCGATAGGACGGGCATCTGAGTTGCTGTGAAGAGAGAGTGCTGAGATTTTGCCTGGAGAAGAGAGCTGAAAGGAACCGAAGCCGGGACTGCAATTGTCAGCGGAGGCAGCCTCACGCTTGAATCGGCCTCTGGGGCTTGGGGAAGAGGGTTAAAAGTATGAGAAGGAAAGGAAGGTTGAAACTCGAAAGAGTGGGCTCATGCTGCAAGTGGAGGCAGCCTCACGCTTGCTTGAGCTACTGGAGCTGCTGGCCACTGAAAAGAAGAGGGATTAGTAGCTGTTGCGAAAGCAGGTTGAAATGATTGGGCCTCCAATGCTAGCGGAGGCAGCCTCACGCTAGCATCTGGGACAGGTGCTGGAGGCCACTGAAAAGAAGAGGGATTAGTAGCTGTTGCAAAAGTATGTTGAAATGATTGGGCTTCCATTTCTAGCGGAGGCAGCCTCACGCTAGCATCTGGGACTGGTGCTGGAGGCCACTGAAAAGAAAAAGGATTATTAGGAACAGCAGGAGCCATGTTCTGATATGGTGAGGGCCTGGTTTCAGCCAAAGCTGCAGCCTGCTGGCGAGGTCTGACGGCAGAAGGAACTGGGGCGCGGCCCAAGCTTGCTGAAGGCCTTCCGCTGCGGTTTGATGCAGGAAGAGAACTAGATTTGGTATGCTGGGATGGTGGTGTTGTCGAGCGAGGTGAATCCTGAGCTTTACTTTGCCTGCTGGTCCTTTTCGGGGCCGACATGGACTTCAGAGAGAGGTTAGTCGATTGCAAGGATACATAGAGGGCATATAGTTCCGCTTTGTTCATCCTTCGCGAGAACTGAACATCCGAATTGATCAGCGCTTGCCTCAATCCTAAAACTGTCCACTTTCCAATTGGTGGAATTGTTGGGACTGCCGAGCAATAGGAAGAAGCAGGGGAGGGATTGTGATGTCTCGCTGGTGGAGGCGAGGGCTGGCCTCTGCGTCTAGGCGAGCGTGTAGCTGTTCGGGTAGGCAGGTGGCCACGTGGAGAAGCCTGGGGATCAGTTGAAATGTTGGGCGGAGAATGAGTGGTCCTTGGGTCAGCTGATTTTGGCTGAGGATCCGGTGAGAAGTTGGATTCATCATCGGATGGGAAGAGCTGGAGTTGAGACATGGTAGCAAAAAGGTCGAACCAATATGCTGTTAGACTGTCAATGACCTGAGTTAAGTTTGCTGTATATATACCTCTTACTTCATTGATTGGGAGTGTGCTCCACTCGTGTCTAATTAGGCTTGATTACCTGAATGTGCTCCACCTGTGTTTAATTCTGAACATGCTCCTCCCGAACTTTGTTAGTAAAATATCATTAAAAATATTGCACAGTTAATAAATGTATTCAATCGCATTCCCTTTGTCTGACCATATGCAAGGCGTTTAGTGGTTTTGGCTTGTTCCTTGTTCTTGTCATGTGATTCCCTGTTTGTCATGTGATCCTGCCATGTGTCTTCTTGTCCCATGTTCAGCTGTTCCCCGTTATGTTGATTAGCGTTTCAGTTTAACCACGCCCCCTTGTGTTCACTAGTGTTTAAGCCCTGTGTTTTAGACTGTGTACACGGAAACGATTCTGAAGAGAAAACGCAAAAGTAGCATTGCGTTATCACTTTTTATTCTGCGTTTAGACGAGCGTTTTGGGTGGGAAATCAAATTTGGGTGCGTGCATACAGTGACGCAAAAGTGCGTGAAATTTACAGTGGCCGAGAGAGCTCACCGCGCTGCAACTTGATGAAGATGAATGCAAATACAAAAAAACGTGTGCAACTATAAAAACGCATGCAAATACAAAAAAACATCCGCAAATTAAGTAAAACATCTTCATCAGTTCCACAAAACACGTGTGCTCCAAGTACTCACAATACAACCAAATACAGAAACACGCTGCAAACGATCACAACACCACCAAATACAGAAACGCGCTGCAAATAACACGGTCCAAAATGGAAATGTTTCCGGGGAACCAAATAAGTGATGGAGCCAACTGGGACTTGCTTATTGCTCGTGAGCTTCCCTATGCCCTACTCCCTTCAAAGGGCAGACGGCAAAGCTAGCTCTTCAAGTGGGAATTTGGCGTGAGCATGACACCTAGTGTGTCATTTATGTAGCCGCTTGGAACTTGATGAAGGGAGCAACAACAGACAACGTAATGTAATTATTTTTACCTTGGATGTTCCTATGACAACACAGCACTTTGTCCATCAGCTGTATTGAGAATGAGGAGTTGACGTCATTTTACAGAGCCCCTCCCCTCTCCGCCATGTTGGTTGGATTCCCACGGCAAAACAGTATTGATTACGTGTGTTTTTAGCTCGGTAGTAGAGGAGTTTCTCGCAATACCGCACTTTTTTACCATGCCTGGAAGTAACTGCTGCGTTAAAAACTCCTCCAGTAACTCACACGATACATATGGAAAACATAGGAACAGTGGAATTAAGTTTTTGGGGTTACAGAAATTGACACAGCAGGGAGAGTCTGAACTAACGAGAAGACACCGGCTTGCTAGGTTTGCTGATGCCTTTAGTATACGATTTTCACTGTTTGCTGTGCCTTAATGAACATATGCAAAAGTGTCGTTTTTCATTACAAGTTCATTACTTTTTTATTTCATTGAAATAAATGTTTGAAACAACTTGATATGGCTTAACAATATTTATTGAGAACTGAAATATATAGGGTGTTTGGACAACATAAGTTTTATGGACAACATAAGTAATAATAATAAAATAATAATACTGTTATTAGTGCAAAAGAACAAATATCTTGATGCTGCTTCTCCAAATACAGCTGTTTTGCACTTTGTGTGAGTTTGTTCCTGTAAGGTCCCTTTTCTATCGCCTTATCTTTTAGCATTGCTTTGCTTTCTTCCTTTTTTTCTCGTATTCTTAGATCTGTCTCTGTCCTGCCAAAATAATAAATGCGCGAAAATTTAAGAGCTCTGGAATGTTTAGTCGCGTCTATGGGTTCTAAAGGCGTTGCCCCTGGTAACCGATAGCGTCTCCTACCATCATGGCCGACCGGCTCAGACCCCGCCCAAATCGGCACGTGACTCCTCATTCTCAATAGCTGTTCTGACGACAGAAATATAATGATTAACATAACGGTTGTAAATAAATTATTTATTATTTATTTTTACTTTATAAAAATCTGTTAAAATATATCCGTTTTATATATCTGTATGTCAGTGTCATACATTACCTAACATTTTTAAGAAACTTATTATTAAATTTAAAGATAAAATGAAACTATTTGTATAGTGTAACTGATGTATAGATTAATATCTTGCCTTCATGTTCTTCTAGATCTTTTTTTTTATTTATTTAGTTTAGTTTTCAGATCATTGTTCTTTTCTCATTTGTATTGTGATGACATTGAACATATTGTTAACACATGTTGTATATTGTACACAAGTTGTATGTCATAATAATTTGAATCTCGGTGTTTTGCGGGGGAAAAGTCAAAAGAAATTAAATAAAACAAAGTAGAATTTTGAGTAAGCAAGGAGTATAGACGAACTATAAAAAATACAATAGTATAATATTATTTATATATATACAATATTATTTTAATAGTATAGTTTATTTATAAAAAAAATATAGGCTTTGACTTCTTGTCAATAAAGGTTTTTTGCTGTAAGCACGTCCTGTGGTTCCAGTCGGATCCGTCACTTATTTGGTTCCCCGGAAACATTTCCGTTGTGGACCGTGTTATTTGCAGCGCGTTTCTGTATTTGGTGGTGTTGTGAACGTTTGCAGCGCGTTTCTGTATTTGGTTGTGTTGTGAGTACTTGGAGCACACGTGTTGTGGAACTGATGAAGATGTTTTTCTTAATTCGCGGATGTCTTTTTGTATTTGCACTAGTGTTGGGCGATATGCTCCATTTTCATATCGTCCTATCGTCAGCCTGTGAGATCGGCGATACACGATATTATCGTGAGGGGGCGGGGCTACCTTATTTGATTATTAACTTGATTATTGAGCCTACTCATTAATTTTCTTGTTTTATTAGCCTACTTCGTTTTATATACGAGAATCTTTTTTCTATTTTGCTAGCAAAGGTGGAGTGTTTATTAATAGGATCAGGTTATTTCCTGGTATAGTGAGGTAAAAAAAAGAGATCCTAATCCTTTTGTTTGTCAACGGGAAATTTACGGACACATTAGCCTATCCTCATGCCGTTACATGCAGCATTTTGACTAGGGTCTATTTCTGCACGAGATGAAAACACGTTTTAATAATTTCTTGGGTCAGAAAAAGTCGGAGTTTGCGATATGTGCCCCCCTACCAGTGCGCTCTCTGCGCACTTCACATGCGCACAGTAAGCACGAAGTACGCGGGTTAATGTGTTTTAAATGCCGATAGAAGAGCAAGGGCCAAACGTCTAGCTGAGTCGATCGGTTTATACTTATACTTATGACTTGACTCTGATAAAGGAAACGTTTACATGACCACATGCATTGTCAAGTTTATTCAACATAATCAGGTTAAGAACGTCGTCGCATGTAAACGCGCTCAATCTCTGAAAGTGAAAGTAAAAAACGGACTGCTTTCGGCATCTGCATTAACGCCGCGTTCCCTCAGAGACGACGATGATAACGGTAACTATAATACTATTTTAGTGATATTATTATTAATACTAATTGTATTGTTTTTAGTGTTAGTGTCATTAAACGTTTTGTTAATGCTTTACGGAAACAAATACTGACGAACAACGATGCCGTTTTCATCTTGGATCTGTAGGAAATTGAATTTTGCGTCTGTTAAAACGAGCACACTTGATAATTTGTGAATGGATCGCCTTGCAATTAAATTTTGACGTGGGATGTTTTTTAGTCTGTTTTAAAAACATTCTCTTAGAGGAGTCCTCATTAGTGCGTGTGTTGTTGCAATTGTTATGAGATGATGTCGTTGTAAATTTAGGCAAGGCAAATTAATTGTAGTTCCTAATATTCATTTAATAACAATACTAGCTTTATAATAATAATAATAATAGGCCTAATAATAATAAT